CTTACCTGGGTCCCTGCGGCTGACTACACCTCTGTCTGGATTCCTGAGCCTTTTAATCCCCTTTCTCCCGCCCTCCCACCTTGCTGCTTTGGGCATGCCTGGGTTCCCTCTCCTCACCTGGATCCCTGCGGCTGACTGCTCCTCTGTCCAGGTTCCTGGCTTTTAATCCCCTTCCTCCCAATCTACTGCCCTGCTGCTGAATTTGAGGTACAACTTAATATTTTTGCATATGGAAATTCAGTTATCCCAGGATCATTGTTGAAGAGACTATTCTTTCTCATATAAATGGTCTTGGTATCCTTATGAAAAATCAATTTGCTATAGATGTATGTGTTTATTTCTGAGCTCTAAGTCCTATTTCAGTGGTCTATATATCCTTATGTAGCACCACACTGTTCTGACTACTGTAGCTTTGTAATAAGCTTTGGAATCAGGAAGTATGAGTCCTCTAACTTTTTTTTCTCCAAGATTATTTTGACTATCAAGGATAACTTTCAAGTTTATATGTATTTTAGGATTCATTTTCCATTTATATAAAAAAGGCCATTGGAGTTTTCATAGAGATTTCATTGAATCTATAGACCACTTTGGGTAGTGTTGACATGTTAACAGTATTATGTCTTCCAATCCAACACCAGATATCTTCTGAAAGAAGCAGTGTTTTATAGTTTTCAGTGCATGGATTTTTTGGTTAAACTTCTTAAGTATTTTATTCTTTTTGATGTTACCATAAATGAAATTTTTTGCTTAATGTCATTTTCAGAATGTTCATTGCTAGTGTATGGAAGTATAACTGTATAGCTGATGTTGTGTGTTAATCTTGTATTCTGTAACTTGCTGACTTTGTTTATTATCTCTCATAGTTGTGTGTGTGTGTGTGTAATCTTTAGGATTTTTTAATATAAAAGCTCAAGTCACCTTTTAATAGAGATAATTTTACTTCTTCCTTTCTGATTTTACTTCCTCCTTTTTATTTTTTTTCTTGCCTAATTGTGCTGGCTAGGACTTCCAGTGCAATATTACATGTTGTTTTTGTTGTTGTTGTTGTTGTTATATGCTGTTGAGTTGGACCTGACTCATAGCAACCCCTCCTTGAGTTTTCGAGGTGGTATCACTATGAAAGTAGATTGCCCAACCTTACTTCCAAAGAGTGGCTGGTGAGTTTGAACCATCAGCCTTCTGGTTAGCAGTCAAGTGTCTTAGGCACTATGCTACTAGAGCTCCTGCAATATTATATAGAAGTGGCAAAAGCAGACATCCTTGCTCTGTTTCTGATCTTAGGGAGAAAGCTTTAAGTCTTTCACTATTCAGTAAAATGTTACCTGTGGTTTTCTCATAAATGGACTTTAGCATGTAAGTTTCTTTCTATTCCTACAGATTAACACTATTCTTATTCTTAATTACTATTGAGTGTTTGTATCACAAAAGTGTGTTGGATTTTGTCAAATGGGTTTTCTTCATCAGTTTAGATGATCACGTTATTTTTTTCCTTTTCATTCCATTAATGTAGTGTATGACATTAATTAATTTTTTGTAATACACTATATTAATAATGTATTACAAATATTTTTGTATTACATTAATTGATTTTTTATAATAGTGTATTAATAATATATTTTGGATATGTTAATCCACCCTCATATTCACAGGATTCAAAGTTGGTTATCATTCCCTTACTCCTTGGAGTTGCATTTGAAAGCCTAGGATGTTCCTGGCTATCTCTGAATTTCAGGTTTTGTCTTCCCCTGCACTGTAAATGACAAAAGCTCTGCTAAATTTCTCAGTAGCTATTTTCATCATTTTGAAGTGCCTTGACAGTAAGTAATAGTGCCCAAATCTTTCGTTGTTTTCTAAGGGCTTATTGCTTTGCTTTCTGTCTCCAAGTGGCATTAATATTACATGTGTTTTTAGGATAAATAAAATATTGGTGTCAGCTTGTTTACCTTTCTTGTTTTTGCATCCTCTTTGTTTTCTTGACTCTATGCTTCTGTATCATCTTAATTTCTTATACACTTGAGTTTAAAAGTGTGTTATTTTTTTACCCAGCATTTTTAGGTATTTTGTGTTGGAAGGATGTTTTGTTTTATTTTGTTTTGTTTTTAGACTATGTAGTTTTCCAAGGAGCCCTGATAATGCAATGGTTAAGTGCTCAGTTGCTAACTGAAAGGTCAGTGATTCAAACCCACCAAAGTCTCCATAGGAGAAAAGATCTAGTGATCTGCTCCCATAAAGACTACATCCTAGGCAACCCTATGGGGCAGTCAGTTCTACTCTGTCCTATAGGGTCGCTATGAGCCAAAATGGACTCAATGGCACACAACAATAATAATCTTTCATAGTATGGGGTTTATTTTTATGCTGATTGAATTGTATTTCTTTAGATCTAGTATATGTACACATATGATATATATAGAATATATATATATATATATATAGTAATGAGTACTTTTTGTGTGCTGTTTGTCTCTGAAAGTCTTAATAAATCACACAAAAATTTCCTGTGGTGCCTCCTACTAATAAACATTTTAAAGCATTTACTGTATAACTAGGCTCTGTTCTAATTTCTGAGGAGGTTATAAAGATGAATAAATCATCATCCTTGACTTTAATGGGTTTATAACCTATATTTTCTTCTACAATATTAACCTCTTAAAAGAAAAAACAGGAGCTCTGGTAGCATAGTGCCTAAGGCCCTTGACTTCTAACCAGAAGGCTGGAGGTTCAAACCCACCAGCCACTCCTTGGAAGGAAGGTTGGGCAATCCTACTTCCATAGTGATACTGCCTCAGAAACCCAAGGAGGGGTCGCTATGAGTCGGGGCCAACTCAACGGCAAATAACAACGACCAAAAAAAAAAACTCACTGCCATCGAGTCAATTCGACCCATAGCAACCCCTCCTTGGGTTTCCAAGGTGATATCTCTCGGAAGTAGATTGCCCAATCTTCCTTCTGAGGAGTGGCTGGTGGGTTTGAACTGCCAGCCTTCTGGTTAGCAGTCAAATGCCTTAGGCACTACTCTTCTAATACTAACATCTTGTAATCTATTATTTCTCAATAATAATGTTTCAATATTTTTTAAAAATAATGCTTTCTGAATGGCAATAGGGGACCAGAACACTAACTCTGAAGTATGTGTGGTATGATAGAATAAACATTCAACATTTGAGAACTTTGAGATGGAAACAGGGTCCTCAGGAAACAGAACGATTTCAATTAAAGCAAGATGGTGGGGGGAACTCTTGGAAAAGAGGTTGAGAATGTGGAAGTTTGCTGATTTCAAAGATCTTGGGTGGTGCAAGCGGTTTATGATCAGCTGCTAACCTAAAGGTTGGCAGTTCAAATCCACACAGAGGTTTCATGAAAGAAAGGCTTGATGAACTGCTTGCATAAAGATTACAGGCCTATAGAGCAGTTCACCATGAGTTGGAATTGACTCAACTGTAATGGGTTTGGTTTTTGCTAATTATACAGCAAGGGTTCCAGAGGGCAAGTATCAGTGGTGTCAGTGGAGAATGGCTGGTTGCAGGAGGGATGGCACTTATCATTTGACTAATGCAATAACAAGAAGTATAATGGGCCTGGTCTCAGCAGTTTCTCTGAATAAGGTGCCCTAGACCTAGTGCCAACAGACTTAGATAACACAGACTGGACTGATGTTAGTCTCAGGGATGGATATTGTTCTGGTTACCTAGTGCCGCTCTGACATGAATATATCACAAATGGGAAGGCCTTCACAAATAGGAGTTTATTCTTACAATTTGAGGCTTTAAGTCCAAGTTCAAAGTGCCAGGCTCTAGAGGCTGGGTGAAAGCCCCTCAACCTTGGGATCCAGCTCTGCCTCCTGCTCCCGGCCTACTGGAGCTAGAGGCGTTTCTTCACTCAGACAGCTGCTGGCTGCTGAGCCTGAGAAGCCCCAAGGCTGACAAGACAAAAGGCACAGTCTCGATGTTACCAAACCACACAGCAGACCATTAACTTAAGTCCATTGTAAGTCCCAAGGTTGGCAGCAC